CTACATTCTGGCTTCAACATGCACATCAGGTACATCGAGTTACTTTTTGTTTGTTTCTATGAAAATATTAAAAGGTTATTTCACCCAAAATTAATATTCTGTCATCATTTACTCACCAAACCCAAGACTTAATATTCGAAACACAAATTAAGATAATTTTAATGAAACCTTAGAGGTTTCTGTCCCTCCTTTGAAAGTCCAGGTAGCCAAAATTTAGAAGATCCAAAAATTTAAAAAAGGCATTTTAAAAATGCATCCATGTGAATCGCATGGTTTATTTCACAATTAAAAGATTTAATTTACTTTTAAACAATGATCGACACACATACAAAGAGCACATTATGTAAGGTAACCACAGAAGCTCGAATATACGTGTACGATGCATGAGAACCAATCAGATTTTTTTCTAATGCGTGACGCACACGACCTTCCATATTTACCATATGTGGTGTGCTCTGTATATGTGTTTATATGTGAACACAAGGACTCTTCGTATGGATTTTTTTAATGAACTCCTTTATGAACTTTTTGGAGCTTCTAAGTTTTAGTTACCTTGACTTCAATCTAGGGACAGAAACCCTTTCAGGTTTCATTAAAATATCTTTCTTTGTGTTTCAAAGATAAACCAAAGTTTCGTGGTTTGGATTGAGGAGGATGAGTGAACGATGACAGAATTTTCATTTTTGAGTTAACTATTGCATTAAAGTTTTCTGTATTGTACTGTCTCAGGCAGAAGCTACAAGGGATTACCAGTACCTCAACCAATCAAGTATTGATGACCTCTGTCTTCAACTCTCCAACGATGTTTCTGGGGGATCTCCTCCAGACGCCACTGAGAACTGCTTAGCACTGCTAAGCAGCAAAACTCTAACCGCCCAGGATTTTAGAAGGTGTTTTCTGCCCAATAACACAGCCCTCATTGCCTCTTTGTGCGGAAATGATTCGTCTCAAATACCTCAAGATGGGAGCTGGGCAGCCGAGTACTGCTCCAAAGTCATCCCTAATCACTCTCATGGGGCCCCCAAAGACAACTGTGATTACTCGAACTGGAAGGCAGAACATTTTATGAACACCACTGCCCTTGAGATTTGCAGCAGTAAAGCAGGTTTGAAGGACTATATTTGCAAAAACGCCACACTGTACCTCACATTGGTTCGAAAGCAACCTTTGCTCTTAGACTACTGTTTGAACTCTGAAGAGAAGCAGAGCACCAAGTGCGTCCTCCAGAAGCTGTTTGACATGCTGCCAGCGCCATATGACTTCGACACGTCGCAACTTTGTGTGAACCCCTTGCCCATTCTACAAGAGGCTATTCATAAGCTCACTTTATGTGAAGGAGTAGTGGATGAACACACGGGATGGTTAGCTACGGTGAGCTACGTGCTTCGAATGTTGGACTTTGTGGTGGGGCTCTCGGAAGGTTTAGAGGAGGGACAACGAGAGGTGCGTCAGAGCCTGGGTCAGGCCATTCTTCTGTCCAGCCTCCAGGACAATGTTTCCTTCTGGGCCACTCTACGGCCCGATGCATCAATAAGTGTACTTCACACTGTGGGCGTCTTCCTGAAGAGAGAGCAGAACTCCACCTTAAAAGAAGATCTTTTAAGCTGTTTCAGTGTATGTCATGCATTTAAATATTGCATAGTTTCTCATGCTAGTATTTTATTATTATATTACCATGCATTCAGCTTAATGCATTCAGTTTCAAAGGCTTTTCTCCCCAGCAGCCTGTCCTGTGGGATCTCATTCAGAGGGAGGGCAACTCTTCTGCTTTAAGATTTTTAATGCAGGTATTACTCATTCTCTCTGATGGTAAATTATCTAGTCAGTTAAACCCATGGTTTTCAAGCTTTTTGATGCTATGTAGCCCTATATGATAATCCCTTTACAAAAGACCCATTTTTAAAAATATACTCTTAAAATAAAGGTTCTTTATTGGCATCTGTGGTTCCATAAAGAACCTTTAACTTCCACAGAATCTTTCCATTGCACAAAAGATTCTTTATAGTGGATACACTAAGAAAAACGGTTCTTTAAGAACTGTTCACTGAAAGTGAACCCAGAATTGTGAAACCAACATTTGGAATCTTTATTAAGAGTGTATATATATATATATATATATATATATTCATGTAAAGACCTGTTTTTACTACGCGAGAAAGCTAGTAAGTTTGATATTATTAAGACAATATGACTGCAAAATTATCATTGTGCTAAAATCATAAGAAATTAGATTTTTTATAATTAATACAATTATCTTTATCATCATTATAATACATTATATACTGTATAAGTAAGGTGTATTATGTAATTACAGCTTACTTTTCTGCCTACCCCCTGGAACATCTTGCATAACCGAGTTTGAAATCCCTTGAGTTAAACCCAAAATCCCAACATATAACATATAGATTCTATCCATTTCCATACTGTAGTTTCTTAAAGTTATTAAGTTGATGAGTTCAGACCTTTCACTTACAAGCGTTCCTTGAAAAACTGCACTATTTTGTCAGCACACATTTGTCAATGTCTAATTCTGACATTTATACTCTCCAAGGAGTACCTACAGATGCCTAGAGAGAGTATTCGCAGTGTAGTTATGTCGGCAGAAAAAGATGCTGTGAAAAGATTCCTTTCCCATGTTCATCAGAGTTGGGATCAACTTCAAGTGGAAGCTATACAGGTAAACCACCAAACAACATTTTACATGATCAATTCAGATGTTATTCCAAAACAGTGAGATCTGGCTGATACTGATAAGGTGATAATTTTCACATTCAGTCATATAAAATTAAATTAAAATTATTTTAATAAAATAAAATTATATTAAATTCTATTTTTAAATTAAAAATAAAAAACGTTCAAATTATACAACTGATCTTATTTGCAGTGCAACTTTATAATGAACAGTATGTATATTCATTTTGAGATTTGTTAAAAGATTACAATAACTGATATAGTACCAATATATAATGCATCCCTATATATGTACCTCTGGTGTCATTCACAGGTCTCTCCAAAAGAACAAGAGGCCATGGAAACCATGACAGCTGCTTTCATTCACAAGTTTCCACGTGTCACACCAGAGCTTTTCATTGACCTCTCCCAGTTTATACCGTACATGTCTGTCTCAGACATTATGACCTTCCCTGCCTCCCTCATGGTCAATGAAAGTGTGTAAGTGGATCATATCGAAACTATATTTTATGATTTAGCCCAGTGTCCTCCTAATTCAATTATTATATTCACTCGCTCCAGACTGCTGGCCATTAGTGATCACAGCTCTGAGATGAAGTCTCCACAAAAACAAGCCTTCATAAAACGCCTGTTACAGTCCAGCGTAGCTGGAGATGTGCCTTCGTGGCCGCCATACTTCCTCAGCTCCATTCTGCCTCTACTTCCACATCTCCCAGTCAGTCACTTTCAGCAGCTCACATCTCAACAAGTAAGTAATGTCTCATTCAGGAGATCCTGCTTTTTTCTTTTCACTTGCCGAAAGTAACGTGAATGGTTGACAGCTCACACCCTTAATGGAGATGCTGGGGAACAGCAGTCTGGATGCCACAAGGGGGCACCATGTACTTCGCACTGTGTTCGGCCGGGGGAAGAACCTGACGAGTGACAACATAATGAAGTACAAATTCAGCTCAACATCATATGACATTTGTAAATTTACAAATAAATACAAGACACTGTGTTTCTCACAACAGGTTAGGAGTTCTCATATGTTACCTGAACTCTGAGGACTTACAACAGTTATTGTCTTCATCGAATCTCTCACCTGTCCTGTGGCAGCAGCTGGCACAATGTGTATCAGAGGGACACATCAGTGGAAGTGGCAGAGTGAGCCTTGGTTTTTTGGATATTGTGCATTGTGTAATAATATCAAGTGTTATTCATGAAGAGTTCTTTTATCTGCAGCTTTCACTTTGGCTTGGGACGGCCCTTAAATCTTTAAATGCCAGTATCTTGTCAACTTCGGCAATGGCCTCGTTACATGGTATGCTGCCACAAATGGGTGCTTCATTTTTGGAGCCGTTGTCCTCAAACGAGTTGTTGGATCTGGTAACTCTGCCGGGTATGCCAACTTTCCCACCTGCTCAGGTAAGACCATTAGAATGAAAGCTTTTTAAGTTACAATTTAGTTTCTTAATTTGAACAGGATGCACAATTGAAATTCAAATTTGAATATAAGGAAGTAGAATTAAACTAATTTTTAACTTGAAAACCAAAGTTTGCCAAGACAAACATTGACTGTTGACTTAACAAAGCCTGAAATTGCATAAGCCTTAATGATACTGTATATCAGGGGTGTCCAGTCCTGGTTCTGCAGGGCCAACGTCCTGCAGGGTTTAGCTCCAACTTGTTGAACATACCTACCTGGACCATTCTAGTAATCCGGAAGACCTTGATTACCTTGGTTCAGGTCTGTTTAACTGGAGCTAAACTTTGCAGGAGAGTGGCCCTCCAGGAACAGGATTGGATGCCTCTAAGATAGATAGATAGATAGATAGATAGAATAGAGGTTCTTCATGGAACCATAGATGCCATAGATAGATTCCTCTTCCTATAATTTCAATAGTGCCAATTCAATTCAAAGTCCAACTCGTGAATTGGATGAAGCCAGGTTCTCAATTGTAAATTTTGTACAACACTGATAGAATGATATTGTAAATAGTCAGTGTAAATATATTGCATAATTGTATCTATATATTAAAACCCTTTTCCATTTCTTTTAATGCAGGCATTCCAGATACTGAACAAAATAGCAGAAGAAACACATGTAAGATATACACACCAGTCCAATTACGATGCTTACTTTTAGTGAGTCCTATGTTCACAGTCTCAATCCTGTTTAGTTCAGTGCCAACACGCTCTGCAGACTGAAGCCATTGTTTCCGGGTCTGGGGCCTTCTTTCTTGAGAAAGTTGGTTTTACTTGAATCTACACCTGATTGTCAGTGTTGGAGTTTAATGCTGGCTCACCTGCAACCTGCTCATCGAGCGATGGTCCATTTCGCACTCCAACAGGTTTGAACTTCTAGTGCTTAAACTCTGTACAAAACAATCACCATTTCCCCATTTTCCATTTGCGTTTATGCATTAGATTTGGTTTGGTCTGTTGGTGTATAACACATGCTGTTTGTTTGAAGGCTCTGGAAGGCACGTCTGCAAATATAACACAGCAGTTGGAATGTCTTCTACCATTCGTCTCCTTGAGGAAATTAATGTCAGATCTAGATGGAGAGACGGTCCTTCGTGACATATCTGTGTATAAGCATATGCCATGGTCTCACCAACAGGTACAACCCTAATTTCATACCTTTGGTTTTGGCAAACGTGCATTTTCTAGTTCACAGACTGTCAATGTTGCATATCATGCACAAAAACATAGAAGTCTTCAGCTAGCACTATCCAGGAAGATCAGATCTTTTTAATGTTAAATGTATATTTTCTCTCAGCAGTTGAAATTAGCATTTTAAAGAAACTATAGAAGCACTGAATATTCAACTCTAGCACTCTGTACATTACATTCAGTGCCCTGTACTGCTCTTGCCAGACAAAGCTGATCTCAAGTTCTTTGGTGGATTACTTGTCATGTTTCAAAGGAGCCTTTCAGTAAATTAATAATCTGAGCCCCTCAACTGCCATCAAGCAAATTGATCTTAATGTGGTACAATAGGCTCCACCAGGGAATATGAATTAATAATCACCCACATTAAAGAGACCTTGTCTCAGCCAAAAGTGTATCAGATACATCCTTGAGGGCGATCCAGTTTCTCAGACTCACTTGTTGTATTTGACACAACAGGCTCAAATGCTGTTCAAAATGATTCAGCGGACCGTAAACATCACAAGGGAGTCAATACTGTAAGTGATATCCAGCATTACTGTACTTTATGATTGTTGACTTGTCAGCTAGCCTCACCTGTTATATTTTTCTTTGGAAATTCATGCTGGTCTTAGTTGCATCATAATCTGGATCTCTAGCACAAAAATTATGCATTGTTTTTATATTTGTGTTGTTTTCAAATTTTATAAACATTCATACATTTTTATTTCCACTGAAGAGATTTAGGTCGCATTGCTGGTGGCATGAGCTGTGAATGGCTGAAGCTTTGGGTAAATGAGTCAGGCTTTTCTGAATTGTTGCAATTCATCACTAAGTTGCCAGGAGGACTTAGACCTGGTTTGGTAAGAATATGAGAAATCTTATTAATACACACATTAACATTAAAAGCCTTTGCTGTCCAAATGCAAAATGCAGAGATTATAATATTTTGATTAAGTAACATTATTTAACATAGCCCATGGCACTTTTGTTCCCCATGTTCCCCACCAATAATGTACAGTATATGACACAAGGGAGGTTTTTAGCCTGTCTGTGGAAAATGAACAACATTGATGTTATGTTTCAACAGAAGAAATGCATTGTGGTGGAGCTACGGAAACGGCCTGATATTGATCTAAATGACTTGGACCCCTCATTTGCTGCAAGATTACCGTAAGATCAGCGGTTGTCTATCCAGATTCTCATTAGTTTGTTCTTTTACATACATGGTCCTACTGTTGTATTTTGTCTCTCAGGCTGACCATGTTGGAGAACCTGTCTAACTCTTCACTCAATAGTGTACTGGACTATGTTCGACAACACTTTATTGACTTTCTCCAGCTTCCACGACACAAGCAAACGGCCCTAGCAGAGAAAGCTATCGATGTACTCGTAAGCACAAAATTATTGTGGATTTTCAACTTTTCATGACTGAAGTTAATGCAGTGGAACATTTCATAGAAGTTTCACAGTGACCCAGACGAACTATGCCTTCATCCAGTAGCTCGTATTGTCACCAAATTTTTATTTTCATTTTTATTTTTTAGAAAAAAAAAACAACAACAACCCTAATTGAAATCTAGTTTTACTGTTGCAGAATGCAGAAATGCATTTCCAAAAATGTGGATTATATGGATGTGGTTTGGTATTTATTTTGCTATTTAATTTAATTTAAATTTTTTGCTGTGATGCAAAACGGAATTTTGGCATCACTACTCCAGTCTTCAGTGTCAATGATCCTTTAGAAATCATCCCAATATGCTGATTTGCTGCTCAAGAAAACATGAATATTATCAGTGTTGAAAACAGTTGTGCTGCTTTGCATGTTTTTGGAAACTATGATCCTGTTATTATTATTCCAGGATTTTTGATGAATAGAAAGTTCAAAAGAAAAAAAAACATTCATTTTGTAACATTATGAATAGAACATTTAGTACATACAGTCAATTTTAATAAATTTAATGCATCATTCTTTACTGAATAAAAGTATTAATTTCTTAAAAAAAAAAACTCTTACTGATCCTAAACTTTTGAATAGCAGTGTATGCCAGTACAAGTCAAATATGCCAAATAATCAGAATGTGCAGACTTACATAATACACATTGTTAAAATTAAAAATTCCTTTTGTCTCCACTGATAGGGCATCTCTGAAAATGGCCTCACCGAGGCCTCCATGTATATGCTCGGTCCTTTTCTGCCCTTCCTGGACAGGGATGTGTTAGCTCACATAGATCGAGAGGCTCTGAAACTGCAACTAGAGGAACTGAAACAATATTGCCTGCCCTCTGACACCTTCAGACAAATAGCAGCTTTGCTCACAGAGAGAAGCATGCTGGGGTGAGACAAAGTCATTCCATTTTCATTCTGTTGACAACCTCTTTGTTCTGACTGCAACTGCAAAATGTAGTTCCACACGGCAAGCAAATTACAAATTGCATCTGTACTGAGAATTTGACAAAGCTCCTGTTGTTTGCAACAGAGATCTGAAAACATGGACGGTTGGGGATGTTGAGCATGTGGGTAGACTTTTGTTCACCCTTTCACCTCAGCAGATAAGATCTCTGCCACTGGTAAGGGAAACACAGGCCTTTCCATTCAACTAAAGCTCGATATTGTGCAGGATAACATCACGTTGAACATCTTCCTTCTTCCATCAAGGGTGATTTAGGCAAAGACACAGTTGAGCAGGTCCTGATGAGCCAGTGGCTTTGGAAAAGCAGCGAATTGGGAAAGGCTTGTTTGGATCTGAAAGGACTACGAGAAAAGATGAACGGTCTCACCCACAGGATCGTTAAAGGTCGATGGTGGATGAGAAGGGGTGAGTTGTGTGTGCTACATTCATTTACAGAATCCATTAGATATTATTTATGACTTCTTCGGAAAGGTAGATCATATACTGTTGCCTACTAGGGCCCATTCCAAGCTGTGCAGACATTAAAGGGACATTTCCATCGGCCTGGAGGTCCTATCAGCTGAATCGAATAAAGAGGAAGGAGCTGAAGATGTGTGTTGAGTTCATTGGTCAGGATGACACACTTGATGCCGAGCAACGTGAAGCACTTTGGATGGAACTCAGACCAGTTAAGCTACTTCTGCTTGACCAAATGTTGTTGCTCACTGATTATCAAATGTTTGATCTCATATGACAACCATTATTTTAGGTGTATAAACCAGTGAAGCAGCTTGAACCAGAACAGGTGTTGGAACTGGGTTGTATAGTGACTGAGATGGGAGAAAGAGAGCTACAGGCTGTCAACTTATCCAATCTGGCTGTGGTGGCCCATCTTGGGGACCTCAATGGGTGGAACGCAAAGAAAGTAAGTTTTTAGTTGTTCGGATTAGCCTTAAGTCCTAAACTGGAAAGATACATCTAGTTATTTTTTAAACAGATGAGAGCAGTTGTCCTTGGTATAATGAATCGACTTAAACAAAAGCCTGAAGAGCTTGGTGTGGTGGAGCTTGTTTCCTTTGGACATCTGCTTTGTGGCTTCAGTTCCTCTGAAATTTCCCATCTAGACCCGTTCAACCTGAGGTCAGCAGTGAAAATCAGTTTACACCATTCAAAATACAAAACGATTCACCTCAAAACCATTGAAAGTACTGTGTTTGTGTCCATTAGTGTGGCTGCTTTGTTTCTGGGGGAGATGGTACTGCCGTGTTCTGAGCAGCAGACCGAGGCGCTGACGTCATGCCTATCCAGTCCTCTGGGCTTTGGTCCAGTCAGCAGCTGGGGCTCTGAGGTCTTCACTGAGATTGGGACTTTGGCAGGTACTGACGGTGGATTCGATTACAATCAGTTCAATGGACAATATACACATGCCAAATTAGGCAGGCTTACAAAAAGAATAAAACAAACTGATTCTGTGTCCTCAGCTGGGCTGGAGGATATGGTATTGTCTGCACTAATAAAAGAGCAAGTGGAAGGACTTACACCAGCAGCAATAACCCTGATATCTCCAAGAAAATTCGCTGTGAGTGATGGACATCTCTGCTTTTATTCATTCTCTTTCACTTTCTATCCTCCTGTTAAACATAAGACCTTAATATTTTACTAATTGTCTCAAGGCACGGTCACATGTATCGCTGCTTGGCAAATTTTCACGGGCGAAATCTTGTCATACCAATAAGAACTGGTGCAATTGAGAGTTTCGTGCGAGGGCAAAAAAATTCACCACGAAGATTACGCTTATATTCATGTTGGTCATGCACTTTTAACTGGCTGTTTTAAAAAAACAGTTTATTGTCAACTATTGTAGCATTTTTGAAGCACAGCTCACACAGAAGCCACTTTCAAACCAGTCAGATTTCTTTTGGGAAATGCGCCGAATCTGTGTGACATATGAATGTGCTGCCCCTATTTTGATAGCTCCACCCCACACATACGTATGCAACCCAGGCAATGATTAGTTCTGTGTAACAAAGCAAAACCAATGTTACACCGTGTCTACACTTTCGATACGCGAGCGGTGCGGCGCGGCAAAATACTATAGAATTCATTATAATCAGTGATGCTGTCTACACTGGATGCGGCGCGGCGCGACTTGAGAAATCCCCGACAGAAAACTGCAGCTGCGTTCTATTTATGATGTGTTGACACAAATTTCAAATGATTTTCAACGATTGCTTTGTCGCGTCCGGTGTAAACAGACTTTAGCTGTTGCGGCCTGGTCCCGGTGTAGACACGGTGTGAGAAACAAAGCAACCTCGGCGTCCGATCGCAGGCCTTCCGCTCCTTGAGTTCTCTCCAGCGCTGGAAAGCTGATCCGATATTTACACGGGTCCTACTTCTTGCCTTATCGTAAGCCTTCTTTTGTTCCGCAGACGTTTTCCTCTTTCGTGTTTTATCCACCATCTCTATCTTTCTGTTGCTCGGCTAATGAGCGCTCTCTCGTCCATATCATGAGTAGACACGCCCCTTACTGCTGATTGGCTACAAGTCTGTTTTGGTACTCGGCCCAACTCAGTTTTCTAAAGCGTTTTTGAAAAAATACATGCCTCACATTTAAAGGGATAGTTCATCCAAAAATTCTGTCATTAATTACTCACCTTCATGACGTCCAAATTCTTGTCCCTGAGTTACTGTCTTCCGCCATTTTGGAGAGTACATCAACATAATCAACATAATCAGCATTGTTTACGTTCAGTAGACAGCGCGCGCATGCTAAACGTAAATAACGCTGATTATGTTGATTACGTTCTGGGGTACTCTCCAAAATGGTGGAAGACGGTAACTCGGGGAGAAGAATTGTTGAATACATTTTTTTTTTTTCTTTGCGCACAAAAAGTATGCTTGTAGCTTTGTAAATTACGGTTGAACCCCTGATGTCACATGGACTATGGAAGATGAACGAAGGTCTTACGGGTTTGGAACGATATGAGGGTGAGTAATTAATGACAGAATTTTCATTTTTGGGTGAACTATCCCTTTAACTGAAAAAAGGTCCATTGTCTATTGTCAATAGTGTAACATTGTATGAAGCATAGCTCACACAGAAGTGACTTTCAAATCAAGCAGCTTTCTGTTGGTCAACATACCAAATCTGTGTGACAAACTTGAACCTTTTGTGAAATCTGCAAAGGAAAATCTTTCACCAGCCAGTGAAATTCTCAGTCATTCCTATTGAAATGGCTGGATTTCATCTGTGAAATTTGCAGAAGAACAGTAAACGTGACCAAACCTTTAGAGAGTTTATACGTTAAAAGTCTCAGAAAACTTGCATCTTTCAATTCTTCTACTCTATAGCACCCTTGCTACAGCCAAATGCATTCAGACAGACACTTTGGTTGTGGTTCCACATTACGATGCTGTACATCTGATTTAAAATAACCCTACTTTCAAAAACATGTCTCCAAAAAAAGATGCATTTTTGTTGTTAAATGCAATAACACTTCTCTTATGCAAATACGCCCTAAGAAAAGCTTCTGAGCAAAATCATGTGAACCCTAAACCAGCATAATTGTGCAGGTCATCCAGATTAGGTCAGTTACTTGATTGGTGGGTTGTTGAAGCAATCTATCGACTAGTTGATTTTGAAAATATGTAGTTTTGAATATTAGTGCATATGCTAATAAGTATTTGTAGTGGCCTTTTAAAAAAGCCATTTGTGTTTCTCTGAATGACTTAGAGCTTCCAAACAATCATTGCAAGGAAGACCCCAAATTGTTGCCAGAGTTGGTTCATCAGACATGTTGTTCATTATTTCAGGTGGTATTCAGTGCCACGCAGCTGTCTTGGCTGAGCTCTGAACAAGCGTATGCCGTGACAGAGGAGCAGTGGGCAGAATTAGACAATGAACAAAGACAAGCACTTGTCATGGCCCAGTATGAAGGTGAATTAATGCTTGAGCACAGAGGTGAGCAGTATTTTGGATGTCGTTATTTGGATTCTTAACTAAATACGCTTTGGTAGCTGAAAAGAATTGCATATAGTAATTGTTGATGTGTTATTAGTCTGTCATTTTACTATAAAAATATATTTGTCTCTGCAGGCAGGAACCAGGCTCCATCGTTATGGTTTGCCGGCAGCTTCAGAAAATGTTTATTACTTTTTGTCTGTACATTGTGGTTACTGTTATAAAGATTATAACCTGAGGCTTTTTATTTGTTCCTCTTTATTGAATTCTTAAATATATAATAAATGCCAACTCAAATGCAAAACTAATACTTCAAGCATTATTTAAAGTCAACATGGGTGTCGTCAGAATGAGAGTTCAAACAGCTGATAAAACAGTACAATAATCCACAGGACTCTACAAGAGAAAACAGTCCAAAACAGTTCTAAACAAATATGATGATGGATTTTGATGTGAGAGGACAACAGGGGATGAACTTTTTCACTGGAGGAAGCGTTATTATGGATTATGGAGTTGTATTTTTGCCAGAAGCAACGGTTTAAAGTTAAAACGCCATTATGATGGATTTCTTACAAATATGCAGCTTTTCGCTTAAAGGGCACCTATTATGCAAAATTCACTTTCACATGTTGTTTGGACATAAATGTGTTGGCAGTGTGTGTACACAACCAACCTATACTGATAAAAATCGCTCCTTTTTAAAAAGAAATCTCCATATATCATTAGCAGCGTCTCAGAGCAAGTCGATCACAGAATCCGTAAAGTGTGACATCACAATTTACCAGCCCCACCCACGATTGTTGATAGACACACAATGTTTATCTTCACGCTAGAGCATTTAAAAGCAGCATTCAAGTAAGAAATGTCTTCTTATTACGACTATAGACATTATTCAGTCCAGAACAGTAAGTGATTCTCTGCTTTCATTTTATTCTTTGGGTCGTATTAATAGCATAGTCAGCAGTATAGGTACTGTATATTATGCTGATGTCACTTAATACACAGATCTAATATAAACATGAGATTTCTTTCCCAAATGTTTACCTTCACAAACATAACCGACTGTGTTTTTGTAACTTATGTGTGTTTTTAACATAAACTCGTGTGTGAAAGAGAACTAAGTACTCACATGCTGTGTTTAGCCACTTTCTATACGCGTGCTACGGATGTTTGTGCTCAGAAAACCGTCTATCAGAAGTTTTTAATAATAATAATAAATATAATAAATGATCTGTGGGGTATTTTGAGCTGAAACTTCACAGACACATTCTGGGGACACCTGAGACTTATATTACATATTAGGGCTGTGCAATTAATCGCATGCGATTGTCAAGCGCATCTCGTCAGTAAAGCCGGTTCCGTGATTAGTAGTAAATCTCCATCACCTGCTTTCAGATGGAGCGGCATTTAATAGACAGAGTATAGTTCACTGACAAGCTAGGCAATATCGCGTTCATAATCGAATGCGATTCATCTGTGATTATGAACGCGATATTGCCTAATTGTCAGTGAACTACGGCTCTGTGTAGTAAATGCCGCTCCATCTGAAAGCAGGTGATGGAGATTTACTACTAATCACGGAACCGGCTTTACTGACGAGATGCGCTTGACAATCGCATGCGATTAATTGCACAGCCCTATTACATATTGTAAAAAGGGGCATAACAGGTGCCCTTTAAGACATTAATTGATGGACTGGAGTGGTGTGGATTATTGTGATGTTTTTATCAGCTGTTTGGAGTCTCATTCTGACGGCACCCATTCACTGCAGAGAATCCATTGGTGAGCAAGTGATATAGCCTAATGCTGAATTTCTCCAAATCTGCTCCGATGAAGAAACAAACTCAAGTAGATTTTCCGTTTTGGGTGAACTATTCCTTTAAGTACACTAAATAAATTTCCCCAATAAAACAGATATCAAGCAGTGTTTGGACAACATTGTTTAGGCAATTAACTTTATACTGTATGTAAAAGATTTTGGGCTTGTTGCCTTTAAATGAAAAAACAGTGGAGGGCACACAAGAAGGTACAGAGAACTAATTTGAACCAATGAATACAGAAGTTCAAATGCATCTTAATATGCACACTATCCACCATGCCACCTATATTAAAGTCTCCATCATCTCTTGCATGGTTCTGTATACACAGATTAATCAGACACTTCAGTAATGCACAAATAAACCAGATTCTAAATTATTCTGTAGACCATGTGATGCTGCATCCATTTTGTGTTTACGTCCAAGACTTTTGCAAACAAATCTAATCCTTCCATGACTGCAGAGACATCAGCTAAACCTGTATTAAGGACTGTAAAAAGATGGACTAATGAAGCAGAGCAGGATTTACAAGCTTGTTTTGACATACCTGGCAATAAAGCTCATTCTGATTCTGATTCTGAATTCTGATTCTGAGACAACTGTAGCTTTTGGGTTAAGGGGCAAAAGCTTTTCAAAAAGTTTCTAATGCATGTATACTGAAATACAGTTCGCTAACAAACTGTCCATCTACAGAATGAGTTGTCAGTGCATTACATTGCCTTTCACAAAGACTACTGACAAATAAAACATAGCTTGATCTTTGGTCATCAAAGCACCGATGCTTAAATATTACCATAATGGAAAGCAAGCGGGGAAATATGAAATGAAATATACGCTTTGAAACGTGATCCCGCTTGACGTGACCATAATGAGTTTGGGCTTCAGGAGCTTCATTAGCTGGATCATTAAGTCAGCTGTGGGTAGATGCTCTCAATCTAATTGATGGGCGCTCGAGAGAGGACGCACTTACTCGCCTAATTTGCATTCCAACTTGAAGGGTGCTTTGCTTCATCGTACTACTCGAGGAGTGGTAAGACTGCTGTTGCGTTTAATATTAAAATTAACATATTTAAATTTTCTAAAATACTCAAGAGAGTTTCATGATCACGTTTATGATAAAATAAAGAAGAATGATCAGATTCAACGCAGGCTATTGTGCGAACATAAAATCCAAGACGTTTGGGGTTTGAAAGTGAACTGCGCATGCGCGACTAAATACTATTTTTTTCGGGGGTTGCTAAAGTTAGCGCGAAAATGCATAATACAGAATACAACAACATTGCATTGTAGTGTACATGCATACAAAACAACGTTTATATGTTATATGTCATTGTAGTACTTTGCAAAATATTTCGATTTTATTGATTTATTTAACCGTCTGGAAGGCTCCTGGAGAAGCTCTAAAAGGAAAATATGAAGTGGAAAAAATACATACGATAATCATGTCAATACTTAAAGTAAAATTCTTAATGAGCTTTTTGAGTACAATAATTGTATTTTATGTCAAATTGACAGATCATATATATCTAGTATATTTTACATATCCAGGTGCTTCATTTTCCCTATAAAAAAATATGAAAGTTAAAAATATGAAAGTGAACTTTAATTTGAATAGACACAAACCTGCAAGCTTGTAATAAAGTATAAAAATTACACCCTTACAATATTTATATTGTAAGCATTTTGTATCTCGGAGGATTATATTTGTTTTCTATTTTTCGTTACTAATGTTTAAAAAAAAAAAAACCTCGTGTTTTTGAAGTAAACTGCGCATGTGTATCCAGCAGATGGCGCAAACACATCGTGCACCGCGTGACACCGCGTCGCATCTCATTGCGTAGATCTGTGACGTATTTCCTGAGAAGCAGTGCGAAGACCGCCTCTCCAATCCAGTCCCTGGATAGAGGGGTATATTTTTTATTAATTGTTTGTTTGTTTACTTGATTTTGCCGTTTTGAAACGTTCTAGCATGCGTCCGTAACTATGTTGGCGTATCGGTCCAGTGGTGGCTCAGAAGAACCGGGTCTCAGTGATGCCTTAGCGTTGCGTTACGTGCGACAGAGCAAGCAAACCTATCGCAAAGTTTCCCTATTGTACAGTAGATGAGTGCGCGTGGACTTTAGGATAGTCCAGTGCGTCAGGACACTTGAGTCTGTCCTCTTGACAACACTACTTCGTCGGTGTCTTGAGTTTAGCTTTGTTTTTGGGTCAGTCAAACACGGAGGACTTTCCGTCGTGTCTGTGGACAGACAGGTTTAGTGGATTTACGTTGTATCCAAGGAAACGGAAGATTAGAAGCTGATGCTGTTGAGGTAAGAAATTAATTTAGTAACGTTACTTATGAAGTACTGTGAGGATTGTTGTGTCTTGTGTTGAAATGGCATATGGGTTGTACCGTGCTAATAGTAACGTTAGTCTACAAACTTATGTGAACCACATAAGAATGTATTATGACTACCTCTTTGAATACTTATCTTCCTCTGATAACATTATCTTATTCTATAGAATAGATTTATTTAAAAAGACACATGGGTGAACAGTTGTTAAGTTAAAGCACAAGAAATGTAGAAACAATCGTATGTTGTGTATGTGTTCCCTTAAAGGTTTTTGGACACTTTTAAGTGAACATTCTGATTGTTAACCTTCCTCCCATCTGTGGTTACCCTGCTAGTGTGAACACAAATTTGCACACTTTAAAATTTAAAAAGAAAGAAAAAAAATGTGTGTGTGTATATATATATATATATATATATATATATATATGTATATGTATGTGTATATGTATGTGTGCGTGTGTATATATGTGTGTATGTGTGTGTGTGTGTGTGTAAATTTTAACTTACTTATTTGTCTAGCTGCATTATTTAATGGTATTGTGTGTCATATCATTTTAAACTCTTGTTTTCTTGCACATATGAGAAAAAAATAACTTTGATACTGATTAAAAAAAGTTATCACAAAAATGCCTCCGACAAGTTAGTTCTGAGAGATGCATAGTTTTTTTTTTTTTTTTAAGTGTGGGTGCTCTGTGTTGTCTATTATCAGTGTATGCTCTGTTTTGTTCTGTTGTTGTTAAGTAGAGTGTTCAACATTATTTTATACATTTATTAAAAGTATTGTTATTAATGTAATGCATGAAGTGCATGGATCCCCATGTCAAAGTTAATGTTTTTTTTTTAAACTTTTTTCTGGTGTTTTTCTTACCCTCGAAGTAGTTAAATTGATCATGTTTTCGTTCTTTTTCCTCATGAGACTAATGTTTCAGCCATTACCAATCCAAGTGTAATGCTTGCCAGGAAACAAAGTTTGTCTCTTCTTTGGAACAAGCATTCGCTTGTGTTTTGAAATCAAGAATGGATTGCATATATAAAGCAGACTAATAAAATGTAGGTTCCGTTCAACATTTTCAGATAAAGCAGACTTGTATGAATCTAAAAGTCCCACATTTTGTGTCCTGCCTTGAGTTTTTTTTCCAAGTGGTCGACAATTACCATCAAACATCTCTGTGCCGGTTTCCTCTCCCTGTTAAGTGTTAACCATGTTGTGATGTCATGAGTGGGTGTACTTTGAAATCAGGGCTGGCACAGCTTTAAATTGCTGTCAGTAAAGTTACGCACTTCTTGCTTAATGCTTAGCCTACTTAATCTGGGTTAGACACTCGTGCATTGCTCAAGTGAGTATCGTGTTTTTTTTCTTATCTTGACCTGATAAAAACATTGTGTAGGGGGTTAAGCGACCTGTAGTCTATTACTAAGTTAATATAAATCGCTGTGCATGTTAACTTGCATGTAAACCGTTTTAGTTTCATGTTTTTCTGTGAATGTTTTTTCTTAAACATTTATTTATTTTATTATTATTATAATTTTTAAAAATTTGTTTTTGCAAAATAAGTGTAGTTTTAATGTTTGTGAAATACTTTGTGAAAATGATGGTCTTTGAATATGTACAGTCTAATTTTGTTTATGCATGTGTAGTACTTTGATCTTACGAGGTAAATTGGCTCAGTTGTCAAAGCTTTGTAGTAATATTTCAGTGTTCTCATAAACAGTGTTTACTGATTTGTGGTGATCAAAAACTGCTGTAAGCTGTTTACTTTACAGTAAAGCTGAATTAGTGTACTAGACGTAATACAATTACAGGCTTTATGTAGCCGGAATTCTGTCATTGTTTTTTTATTTTTATTGTTGTTTTCAAATCTGAAACTTAAAATGCTGGGCGATTTCCTTATACATGTATAATTTCAATAAAAACAACAAGAATTAGGTTAAAACTTGACTTTTAGGTACATGTACGTACATACATACTGTTTTATGCAGCATATTGAGTGAATTTGTGTGAAATCCTATCTATGTTTCAGAATATGTATATTTTCTTTCCTGATGGTAAATTTCTGGTATAACAGGTAGTGCGTCTGATTCTGAGTTTCAAAGAAGTCCAGTTTAACACATCTGACAGCATTCTTTTGACATTATGGTGATAATGACATTTGAGAATCAAAGAGCATGTAAAAAAGGACATGTCATTTAAACCAACACCAGCAATGAGCACAACATTTGTCATGAGGAATAATAGAATAATAGCTCTGTCCTGAAAGGAAATGCCAGCAGTTTTGTTTTTGGCCTTTATGTGAAACAGAATGCAAATGTGAGCAGAAGATGGGTTGTTTTATCAGATCGTGAGACATAATTTCAATTGCCTTTCTTGTTTACACAAAGCACTCATTTTTATCCAATGAGACTATGTAACCAGCATTTATGTGATTATGAAAGAGGCCATTAAGGGTGTGGACAGGTCAACCGGACTCGGCATGAATCGCTCCACCTATAGTACGTGCATTGAATAATCAGATAGCCTAGTTCGGCTGACGTGATCCAGACTTGTTCAGGACAAGAAAGTTTTTTTTTTTTCTTCTAAAAGTTATTTTTTTTTCTTTTATAAGATCAAATAAATTGCAAGCCAACTCATCTCAACAGTCAATGAAAGTGGTTTCCGGGGAAAAAAGTCTATTTTTCTCTACCTTCAGTTAAATGAATGGACGAAGCAGAGGGTAAATTGAGTACGCTGCTTTATTACTTATTCAATGGCTTAAGTTTATGGCAAGTTGAGCCTCAAGTCAACAAGAGTCTCGCATCAGCGTTTGCTTGGTCATAAGAGAGGAGAAGCGATGGGATGGTTTTGCAAAGAGATGACAGTCTGTCATAACTGAACATGGAAGTTGATGACTTTTTCTCTAGAAGAATAAGTCAGCTGTCCTCCCTCCCATCTTCAGTTTACTGGTGGTTTACCAGCAAAGATGATGACTTGGCACATCACTTATGGAAGTCAGAAAGCATCTGTTTTTTTTTTTCGTTTTCAGAGATTACACCTTGTAAAATTGAAACTTCGTCTGCTTGTTTTGGGCAGTCGAGACTAAGCTGGTAGTGTTTGGCTCTGCATGATTTTTAGTAGATGGTTGTACAATATTAATGTCTTGGGTTGCATCTAAAGAAGCGTGTACATTGATAGCAATTAAATCGCTGGAGGTTGCACAGAATATTTGTTGCATCCGCTACGATATCCAGCTGTATCAGCCGGCAAATCATGTGAGTGTGTCATGATACTGCACAGTTGCGTGAATTTGCTGTTGCTCAAGTCATGTCAAATTGTCAACTCAATTTGAAAACAAATGCCTTCTGATCCCTGCAAATTTGTCAAGGTGAACACCCTTTATTATTCACAGCTCATGCATTCTGGATTATTTTTTTTTTTGTCTGAAATTTTCAAGTGGTATTTTAGATGTTTTGTGTATGGTCCCCGGTAGACATTGAATGAAATTTACTTCACCTCCTCACATTTTTCCCAAATTCAGTTTTTTCTATTTTAATTTTTCTAGACTCTGTTTTAATGCTTAAATACAATTTTATTCATCAAAAAGCATGAAACTTACAATATTAAATGGCGATTTATTGAAAGTTTAACAAAAAATACATTTTTAAAGCCCTATGAAATGTTTTGTTTTCTCAAATTCAGTTTTATTTTGACCAAATTCTGTTTTCCATTAATTTTCTGGATTCCATTTTAATGGTTTAATTAAATATTAATAATCAAAAGCATCTCTAATTTATCTGATTTTATTAAAAAAAAAATCATTTATTATTATTATTTTATTTTTTCCGCAGAAATACTGTGTTTTGTATTTACATTTTCCTGCTGAATAAATTCTGGTAAGTTTTTCTGGTAAATATTCCTAGTACTATTATTACATTAAGTAGCTAATATTTCTGTCACGGTTTCTTTGTTAAATCAAACTTTGATGGGTTGCTGTTTGTATATCTGACGATAGTTTTACTCAAAAGAAACGGTAAATGAACATGAAGTGACTATAACAGCAGTTCTAGAGATTGTCTATATGTTCATGTACTCATATATTGAGGCGGCAGAGGCTGAAAATACCGCGAGTGTCACATGCGCTTCAATATGTGTGTAGTAAACAAAACCACGTGTCTGCTCTTGTTCATTCACACAGAGACACGCAGAACAAGCAGTCATATTTAAATAGTATTTTTGCGGCTTAATATTCACAGACACTAGTCCATATCGTGTTTTGATTTAAGTGTACTGACCTACTTTTGATTTATTCATCAAAAACTTGGCAAATCCCGTGACATTCCGTGTTATACAGTAAATTCCGTTTTTTTATGACTGGATTCCGCAATTCCATCTGTGTTTTCCGCATCGCGGAAATCATATGGCCCTACTCATAGCCTCTTTTACATTTGTGTCAACTAAAATATGACTAAGGTTCTGTAACTGATAGGGATGCGCCGATCCGATATTCATATCGGGTATCGGCTCCGATAGTGCCATTTTTCTCGGATCGGGTATCGGTCAGAGAGAGCCGATCCAAATCCGAGATTTTATTTTTTATTTTTTTTCGATTGTGCGAATTATTCTGTGTTACTTCTGAAGCCATATGATATCTTAACCCTTTAACGCGTACGATCACACCGGTGTGATCAGTCTTGGCTGGTCCCTGGAGCGTACGATCACACCGGTGTGATTAGAACTTTCAGTGCGTCACGTCATCAACTGCTGAATTTAAATCCGCTTTCGCGCTTTGGCTGGCGGGAGCCAAATTGGACGCGCTGAGCGCTTGTCATATTATCACAAATATTCAGTGTTTTCATCCATATAATGCTTATTTTAGGTTTCAGACATTTAAATACACATAAGTACTAGCAAAACCATACATTTACAGTTTGTAAAATACACGCTGATGTCTAAGGAAACGGCAATAATCATCCTTAAAAATATAATCTGACGACATGTTTTATTGATATCATATACAGATTGTGTGGATAACTATAAAGTTTACTCTGCTCTTCTCCCAGTTTACCGGAGACCTACTTTAACATGTTTCGGTAGGAGAGGATGAATTTGCGTGTTGTAAATCCCACAGCTCGGATTCAGCGCGAACTAACATGGCGGCGCCCATCACCCGGTATAGATCAACTAACACGGTCGA